ATATGCATATGCATATGCTTATATGTATATTATACAAATAGTGAGATATAATTCATTAAAATATATAATTATTTTTCTTATATTAGATGTTGGTTTGGTTGCTGCTTGATTCCATGTTGCATCGATGAATGTATGGATGTTCACCATACTTGTCCAAACTGTAAAGCTTATTTGGGACGCCATAGAAGATAAGATAATTTCTGTATTCACATATATTGCGTTCAATTGTTGAAATGCCTTTACAATATAATTCCAATGGATATATTAAATTTGATTTTAACTATATTTTGAATAGCTCTCTGTAGAGAATACTATAAAAATATAGCTGCAATTTATAATCTTTATAACAAAGAATGCACAATAAGTAATTACAGCTATTCTATATAGCTGGTTAATATTTATAACAACGCTACTGGCTGGCTGGCATCATTACTTTGTCATTTTTGTGTTACTCGCTTCTTTGTTGCTTGCATTTTGATAATGAATATATAACCATAATGTAATCTAGTAAGTTCACTCCATGAAAGAATATGGTCTGCCTGAATCTAATTATTCAGACCATGTTAAAATTGAACATAAGAGTATATGTATTACAAAAATTTGTAAAAATGAAAAAATGATTGTTATTATTCATAATAAGGCCTCAAATAACAAATTTATCTTTATTAAAAATGTCTCAAAGCTAATCTTTAAAACATAAGTCTTTTAGACTTTACTGTCTTGAAGACTTTTTTGAGGGATTGAAACATCTTTAAGATGTTTTAGAATGTCATAATATTCTTTTACTATTTCTCGATTTTGTAATGGCGAATTTAAAATAAAAACCTAATAAAATGATCATATGAATGACTATATAGAGATCAAAGATATCGATACATGAATTTAATGATTATATTATGATTAATATTTGTAATATTTTATTTCAGGGTGATTATATCATGAATATAATAGAATTAAATCTTCTGCCAATTATATAATAATATAATAACATTATATATTACTATATGAGGATTTTGCAATCACATATATTTTAAAAATAAATTATATATAAAATAAATTATATATTTAACATTTAATTGTAATGAGTGCTATTGACGAGTTCTATATATTTTAAATAAAGTATTATAAAAATTATTATAGTAAATACATAATTGATAATAAAGAATTTAATCCTATTGTATTTATGATATAGCGTTTTTCAACCAAAGTGTTGCAGATTTTATTCATTATCAAAATGCAACAAAAGAATATCAAGATAAAATAAAATCGAATAATTCTATTGTATATAATTTAATATAAAATTGGACAATTCTGTTGCATATAATTCAATATAACTTCTTAGATAATTTTTATAAAAATATTTATCAGGCGTTTGCATAGCACTAATGAAATTGTGTGCAAGATTTTGTGCTGGGAGCATATAGCTTCAAAATGTTTATGAATAACTTTGTTGTGAAAATAAGAAACGTATACTTCCATATTAACAGATTTGTGCTTCCAATATCAATCAGGATGTCTATCTGGAAAAACTTGGAAAACTTGGAATTCTTAGGAAATTTATTTATGCCTTGAAAAATCAGGAAATTCTCAGGGAATTTTATTGAAAATCAATGAATTTCTTTGTAAGTTTTCTTTTTCTTAATTATTTTGTCTTTTTATAATTTGGGGTAGTTTATCG